TTCGCCTTCTCCGCCAACTGCAGAAGAAAAAGTCCTGCACCATGGACCGCTGCGTTGCACCGACGGTATATTCTCCCCCTCCTGTCAAGAAACACTCGGCGAAGCCCTACAACACGAGCCCTCCCCTTACCTTCGCTGTCGCCTCGAAAGCTGCCATGCACGCAGCCGCGCAGCACAGCGTGAGGGCCAACACGGCGAACAGCACGTGGCACACGGCCTTCATTCGTGTCGTCTTGGAGTCGCCTGGGTGTGCGTGTGTGTGGGTGGGTGGCCTTGCTGGTCTGCGTGGGGACGGAGGGAAGAAGAAAAAGGTGCACAAAAGAGAGAAACACGGCCGGCACGGCTCGCCGCGCACAGACACGCCCGCAGAGCAGCGGGTGACCGCAACAGCACTCGGGCACGCATGGGGCGGTTTCCGCAAGGAGCACACAGACACACGGAGGAAACAGAGAGGAAAAAAAAAAGAATTGTTGTGGAGTATGAAGTATCGTCAGCGCAAACGGCGGTTGTCTTCCTTTTACGGAGTTTAATCTTACGGTTACGAGTCCGTGATTTCCGTTGGAGGTGAAGCGAGTACTATCGTCGTGGATAACGCCTCGCTATTGCAGTTCTTGCAGGCATCGAAGTGCGTAGTTGCGCAAATCCGAGTCAGTTGTTCTTCTCATAATATTTTGAATAAGAGTCGCGTCTTTTTCGCGTAAGGCATCCTCAATAGCCAGTTGTGGCTGATGCAGCTGCATGAGCCACGCCACTCTGCCAGCGACACTGTCCAATTTTGGGATGAAGCGCAGGGCACTGGCTACTTGTGCGTGGAGAGCGAACTGTTCCACAAACGGCGCGTAGCCGATAGGCGGCGTCGAGGCAAGGCGACCGTCCAAGTCCCCGCCAAGTTTTTCCGCCTCCGTCCACCTGCCCGCGTCGCAAAGGGCACGCAACTTCGTGTGGGTGTACATCCGCGCACTGACGTGGTATTTGGCACGCAAGTCCTCCGCGTTACCGTCGTCGTCGTGCAGGAGGCAGAGGTAGAGTGTGCGTGCTACGCTGCACTGGAGGAAGCGTGGGTCACCGTGCTCCGCTGCAAGGCCTTGTTGCAACTCTACGAGCTTGAAGTGCAGAGACAACCACCGCAACTCATCATCCCTCGTTTCGTTAAAAAACGGTGAAAACACCAACGGATAGTTTCTCGCGGCACCAGCGGAAGTGGCCTGCGCAAAGCCCCCACTGACGTTGCGGTCCGTCTTTCGACAGTTCTCCAGTGCCGCCCATGCGTCAGGCAAAGACGGTGGCGCCAGTGGACGGAGTATTGTCTCGAGGTGCGTGTCCAGCTTTTCTTTTGTATGCCCATCGCCCTTCTCACCATGAGGCGAACGGCTTCGATGCGCTTTGGTATCAGGTGCATCTGCTTCCACCGCTGCCTTCGCCCCCGCCTCCGTCTGCCTTGACGCCTCGCGGTTCGGTGCACGTTTGTCCGCTTCGAGCGAAAGTGCAACGCAGCTCCGGGCACAGTAAAGCGCCAATGTGGAGTCGACGTGTTGTGCGCAGATTTCTTTGAGCATCGCTCGCCACACAGGCAGCAGGCGCGCCGCGAGCAGCATGGATGCCAAAACCGTTGGGTGGCCCAGTATCACGTTGAAGAGCTTGGCGCGATCCTCCACTGAGGCTATGGCGTAGGCGAGTGTCAGATGAATGAGATCGGCGTCATCGCCAAGGGCCGCCCAATGCATCGCGAGCTCCCACTCACCGACGAGCAGAAACACAGTTACCTTTCTGTGCACACTCAGGTCCTCGTTGAGTAGTGCGATGGCCAGTGCGCCGCGACCGTGGCGGAATGCAGCCAGAGAGCTCTCCACGTAGCTGGAACCGGGGTGCCGCCGCAGCACGTCTCGAATGTGGGCGTAGACGGTGTGATCGTCAAGTGCGTTGTCACGCACCTTGTGGCAGGACCACTGCGAAAGCAACCGCAGCGGCTTCATATTGAGGGCGCCTGTGATATCGAAGGCCAGTTGGAAACAACAGCGATTTGCCAGACGGTCCACCAGCACCTGCGCCTCGGAGGGGGAGAGGGCGCGCGTCTGCTCCAGCCCGGAAAGAGTGCAGTACTGCCGAAAGGAGAGCGGCATCCGGCACCCAGGGTGGCTTCGCACCGTGTGAAGCACACGCAGTCGCCGTACAATGTCCACAAAGGCGTCGGAGTCGTACCGCCGGTGCACTTCATTGGCGAAGGAGGCTGCGGCCAACAAGAGGTATTGCTGGTCCGGAGAAAACTCGCGCTCTGCGGCATCCAAGACGTCCTCAATGGCCCCAGCGAAGGTGGAGCTTCCCCACGTCGACAGTAATCGACACACGCGCGGCAAGCGATTCCCCCCGTCCGCGCAAGCGGCGACCAACTGTGCGGAGCGCGACAAGGGCTTTATGCGACACAGGGTGACAAGGCTCTTTGGCACCTGCTCCAGAAAGTAGCAGGCCCTCTCGGTGAGGACGCGAACGCCATCGACTTCCGCCACGGTAGTGACATGCCCACTGCCCTCGGGCTCCCAATCGAACCGTTCGTACTTCACCGAGGCCTCCGGCAGAGTCGGAATGAGAAGCGAGAACATTGGTGAGACCGTGCGTGATGGGTAGCCGTGGTGGGCGACGGTGTCGTTAAAGTGAAGCAGGACAAATGACGCCCCACACCACTCCATTTTTTCCGGCCCCCGGCTGCGTGAGCCCAAGGCCAGGGAAAACACAACAGAGCCCAGATTGCTCGATAAGATGTAGAGTTCCGCCCGGTCTGTAAATAGCGCGATGCAGAGACCGGTGTGATTTAACTTCATCGTCAAAACTCTGCCGGGTACACGCTGGCGTGCCTTTGTACGCAGGCCATGATTGGAGGTGAAGACGTGCAGCGTGCTGTCCCCTCTCTGGCCCTGTGGCCTGGCTGCCAGGTAGAACACCGTATCGCCATCATCGTTCCACTCGGCTGGGATGAAGTCAAGAGCGGTGGGGAGAAGCCCCGCCACAAGACGCTCCGGTGCCTGCAGCTTAGGGGCCTGGCGCTCGACGTGCATGAGGCCCCGCAGCCACGCGTTGGCGTCGATGCAGAACAATCCCTCCGGGCGCATGCAGGAAAGAATCGTCGGGACAACGGCAACCCCCACGGAATGGGAAGACGCGGGCACCGTGGCGTCTTGGAGGCGAATTGTGCAGGCGGAAGAGGCGCCATCCGCGCTCAGCGCGGAGCTTCCCGTGTGAATATCGTTAAATAAAACGCAGGCCTGCTGGTCCGTTAGAATGACAAGGGCTTCCTCCTTCGTCCACCCCACATCGATGGGTGAGCCCACACCGCCCGGAAGACGCAGCCGCGCCTGCAACTCACCAGCACTCGTGTACACGTGCACCGTGCAATCCACGTCTCCGCCGGCGTCGGCTGGGTGCGGTGCAGCGTGCAGAACGGCGATGGACCCCCCAAAAGGGGCAGCGCACGCAAAGGCACACGTGGCCAGGGAGAAGGGAGACGCCGCCCCCGCAGCCGGGGGGCCCGCGGGGGCGTCCCAGAACATGCGATCATACAGCGTGAGCTTCCGGCAGTACAACTCGGAGGAAAAGGGGAACCATTCGCCCAGACGCTCCACCATCACATGACGCCTCCCTACGCAGTGGAGGCGCAACACGGTCTTCCCTCTTCTCGCACGCAACGCACACCCCAAAATAATAATAGTAGTAGAAGTAATAATAACAATAAGAACCGCGAGTGTGAAGAAGTGAGGAAAAAAAAAAGAAATAATGAGACGCACGCACTTGCACACATACCGAACAGAGATGAGGTTTCTCGCAGAGAGGCCGCGCCACGGCATCCGGCACGCGAGAAACAACGCACGCTCTGGGACCTCAACTCGGACCACCAAGAGAAGGAAAGGAAAAGGAAAACCGCCACAACACTCCCCAGACTACTCGCGCGGGGGATTCTTATACGCGTCTAAGGCTGCTAAGCACAACCGCAGCTCCAATGTACTCCACTTCTGCGGCCCTACGCATGGCACCCGCTTCGCCAAGAGAGGTCCAGCAAGCTGCAAAACCTCCGTCAGCGTCATGTTCTTCACCCCAGAAAGGCCGATAAAGTCGTGGCTTGGGTACACCAACCTTGTGTAAAAGTCAGAGAAGAACCGCAGCTTTCTGTCGGTGTTGCCGGACGACAGGAGCAGCGCCTGTGGAGGTGATTCGCACAGCCACGCGTAGCAGTCCTCCAGCCATCGGTAGAACACATCGACAAGAAACCCCACAACGTCCTCCTCGCGCCGCAGTGAGCCGAGCGTCAGAGTGCTCCAATACCGACCGGAGACAACAGGGAACACACGTCGCGGCTCAAAGGAGGAGCCGTTCCCGTTAACGGCAAAACCAGCCTCCTTCAGTGCACGATACACCGCCGCTGTGTGATGCATCAACGGCTCAAAGCTGTCCGCTGCAACAATGACGCTACCAAGGAAAACGTGACTCTTTACTCCGCCACGCGCCAGCTGAAGGTTCACGTTCTGCAGTAGTGCATAAACGTCGTCCCGCACGCTTCGCTGCCCTGGGGGGCCTCTCGTAAATCGATAGGCACGCACCCCCGCTCCCACGACGGCCGGCACCGGCGGCGGAAGCAGAAACGCACTCAGCCGTTGGGCCTGGTCGGAGAGTGGGATGAGGCGCCACGGGGCACGGATTTCAATCGACGTCACCAGGAGGGTGTCGTCTACGCCACAGCAGCCAAAACGCACCACGTCGTCGACTTGTACGGCCACCGGTGGAAACCGCGTGCCGGCGACGAGTCCACGATGAAGTGCAGACCAGTCCATCACCACACCGTCCTCGTACCACTCGTGCTCCCACGCCGTACAGTACACGCCG